GGAAATTTGGCAGACTGTAATGTCTCTAAAACAATGTGTGATATTTAGACAGTGTGGTTATCATGAATTAGTAAAGGATGTTTTAAGCTCCAGCCCCCTATTTTATTCCTACCTGCCAAGAGATTGATGAAATGATGTGAGGGCCAAGCATTTCACAGTTTAGTTTCTAAGACAGCACTCAAAATCCTCCAATGGCCTGCAACAGTACTGAAGAACGGGTGGTTGCTTGGTCAGTTGGTTTTAAAACTCAAACCTCCTCCCTTTTTCCCCTTTCTTGCAGAAACCCTGGCTCTCAAATAGAATTATGAGTTCAGTTACCAGTATGGCTTGGTACATCCCACTTGGCTAGCATGTCTCATCGGGGCAGAACCCGAGGATGCACATGCACATTTAGCTCCCAGTTCCAAGGGATATTCTATTGATCCAGGATCATACTTTGAAAATCTCTGGCCGTTATTTTCCTTCTTTAGTGTCACTAGGATTTGACCTGCTTAAAATGTATGAAACTTCTCTAAACTCCCTCACCATCCTAATTGCATAAGTTGTAAGATACACTAATAGTTTTTAGCAGCCATTGCAAAGGATGGGCTGTGTATGAAAAGGGTAATTTGCAAGTCAGTTTTGAATCTATACTGAGCAGCATCTAAGACTTTGATAACCTTTCATAACGATTCTGTTAACTGTCAAACTGGGGCATTAAAGGCGCCTTTGATCAACTTTCATCACCATCCTGCTCTCAAACCGTGATGCTTGCTCATCAAAGCAGCAAAGTTGGTACATTCTCATAGCATTTTTAAATTGAACAATTTAAAGTTTTTTTCATGCTTTTAAAAAAATTCTTTGGTGGGGGTTGCTGGAGGTTGACCCTTGCAATTGCAGTTTTCATATGTTACCTACCTATTATACTGTTGTCTGAACCATTGGTAACATTGAAATATGCCTATGTACAATTCAGTATCCAGCCAGACAAGAAATCACTGATAAACCAAACAAATCTCTTTTGACTCAATCAAAATTCTTTGCCTAAAAGAGTTTCATTATATTCATTACTGGTTTATTTCCATTTTCTTCAAGGTGTTACCATGGAGCCATTCTTTTCATCTACGAGTTGTTTTATCGAGAGTGGAAATGGATATACCCTCACTCTGTCTTCTGCTCCTCTTGGTCACCAACATTGTGCTCCTCTTGGTCACCAACATTGTGGAGATTTTACATGACAGTTCACTAGGCTCTGGGTGTCTCTGGCACTTTCAGGTCCTAATTAAGGCATAGCTTACATATGGAGTCCTAGTAACACATTTTTCTCCCTGGATACTTTACTGTCTACCAAATATATTTTGAGGTTCTTTACCCAGTGTAAGATGCTTTGATTCTACCCTATATGCCGTTCACTCAGTGGAGCTTTGTAAAACACAAACTAAGACAGTTGTCCAAAGAATCTGGCTGTATGAAGGTTATTGTTGGATGGTAATCCTCATGGCAGTGTAGAAAATGACTGAAACTAAGCAAAGAACTACTCAAAAGGATTTACATGAGTCAAGAACAACAATGACCTTCTAGAAGCCAGGGAAACTCATCTACTTTCTTGCTGGTTAGAGATTCATGTTTATGTAATTGGAATTATTTAGTGGCATTTCATTTGTATTTTAATAAATGAAGATTGCCTAAAAACAAGAAAAGTAAAACAACCACACTGGCCAGGCTTACAGACCAGGCAGCAATGACACACACCTTTAATACTAGTAGCCACAATGACACATTTTTAATCCCAGTAGCCAAACTATCTTGACATAGAAACCAGGTGGTAGTGGTGTGAGCCATTAATCCCAGGACTACCAAAGATTATAAAATGGGAAGAGATGACTCTCAGTCACAGTCTCACTCTGAGATTCCTGGAGGCAGGACATTTTTGGACTAAAGTCGAGGTAAGGCCAGTGTCTGGTTGCTTTGCTTTTCTGATCTTCAGGTTGAACCCCAATATCTGTTCTGAGTTTTTATTAATCATGCTTCATTTGGCACCCAACATTTGGGGTATGAATTCATGAAAAATCTGTTTGCCTGAGTGATTTTGTCCACTGGCACAGGCCAGAGCTGGACCCAAACCTAGCCACCTGGGTTTGGGAGAAAAACTAGCTTAGTTTCCATGTAAAGATGGAAAATACAGCTGGGCGGTGGTGGCGCACACCTTTAATCCCAGCACTTGGGAGGCAGAGGCAGGCGGATCTCTGTGAGTTTGAGGCCAGCCTGGTCTACAAGAGCTAGTTCCAGGACAGGAACCAAAAAGCTACGGAGAAACCCTGTCTCAAAAACCAAAAAAAAAAAAAAAAAAAAAAAAAGATGGAAAATACCCAGAGAATCTGGGAAGTGCATGTTATTGTGTTGTCTTTGAATTGTTTGAATGCTGATAAAGAAGTAACAGCTACTAAAAGACATCTGAGTATAAATGCCCTGAATTAATCTAACCTATATATTTTGAAAATGCCTTGACTTAAAAATTTAAGTCGAAAGATGCATTACTTTGGAGAAGAGGTTTTGCTCTTATTTTCACATTTTTTTGCTCTTAATTATTTGCTCTTAATTTCCAAATTAAATAAGTTTAATTAAAAGTAATGCAAACTTTTAGTCCTTGAAAATTATTATTACTAACTGTTTAGGATAATAAGAAAATACATAGGTTAGTAGTTAATCACCGAGTATAATCAATCTTGTAGTCACATTAGGTATGCTATCAAAGTCAAACAAAGATACATTAAAATGTATCATTGTAAAATATAAAGATAGATAGGTCATCTTAAAACAGTTAAGAGATCTATAGACTATGGCATTGCATTTAAGATGTTCTAAGAAATTTTTTAACCTAGGTTCTTCTTTTTTAAGCCAATAAGACATGTCTTCTCCTGGCAGCACCAATATACTTCAGAGAAGATAATGGGCATCGAAGAAACTCAATATGGAATTTACTTTCTTTGTGACAAAATTAAGCCACTGGGCAAGAAAATGCCCCTGCCTCAACTGCTGACTGACTGTGTCCTGTTCTAATTAGACAAGCAGGACACAAAAGCAAGTGACTGCCAAACATTGTCAAGAAAAGGAAGGATGGACCTTCAGAATATCCTGCTTCACAGAAAACTCTGTTAGATATGCTAGGCCTGTAGGTTGAAGATGGATTTGATTATGACTGTCTACACTTTCACTTTAGATTTCAATGTGTCTTTATAGTATTTACCTTCCACCCTTGCTGTCCATGCAACTTACCCCCTGAAGACATTAAGTAAAGAGAAAGGAAGAGATGCAAGATGCCACCAAGAACCTTCCCTCCATGATTTAATTTTTCCAAATTTTAGATCCCACCTCCTAAAATTTCCAGAGCCTCACATATGATCAGCTGGGGATTAAGACTTCAATGCATGAATCTGTGCTGTGTGTTTCACATAAAACACCCCTGTGAGCTTTGTTTTCACTGCTCATGCATCCTTTACATCTCACTATAAATTTGTATTAATTTTTCTTAGTTTGGGTTTTGTTAAAAGAGCACTGATAGACAGCTGCCAAGGAGATCAGGAAGTGAGGCCAAAATAGAGCCCATTAACCTGTCAGTCAACATGTGTTGTGGTCACCTGGAACCTGGAACAGAGGACACTCCTTTTACCTTCTTCACTCAGGCCTTTCATAGAGCACTGATTCCAAGACAGTTCTTGCACCACTTGGATTGGAAAATAAAGGCCCCAAGTTCAAGAGAGAAAGTACTCACAGCTTTAGGCATTTGGAATTCAACTGTTGAACTTTTGCTCATAGTGTAGCCTACTAGGTTGGAATTCAGGTCTGCCTAAGGTCAACCCCATTGCTTTCCCAGCCATGTATTTACTCTTCTGTCAGGTCCCATGGGTGTGGATCTGTACCACCTTGACCAAAAGTCAGAGAGTTGAGGCTATTCCTGCTCCTTAAAGGTTATGACCGGAGGTTTGATCTAGGGAGTGACTGCCTGCAGAATGCTCGGTCACTGCATGTCCTACCTAAATTTCAGAATACTTAACTCAGGGTATAGTTACTTTATGTTTCATGTATTGAAGAGGCGATTGCTCTGTTTGGTCTTTGTATCATGGTAAATCAGTCTTTTACTTCTTTCCCCCCTTTTGGATTGGGGTATATAAGCATATGAAAAATAAATGTGGGCAAATTCAGTATTCATTGGTTTGCCATCCTAACTCTATTCTGTGTCTCTATTTCTTTTGTATCTCTGTTTTGTCTCCTGACATTTCTAATCCACAAGTCCCTACCCTGGAACATACAAACCCATTGAGGCTGGACCCTGACACTCATTCGAATATTCCCCAGATATCCCATGGCAGGGAAGCATTTTAGATTGAGACTACAGCCTTTTAGAATGGCATTGCCCTCAATCACTCCCAGAGCAATACAAACCTGAAAATAAGATTCTCAGAATTATTGAGAAGAATAATTCAATATAAAGCTATAGTGCTTTGTATTGAAGCAAATTACTTCTGATCTGATCATATTTATATTGTACAGAAGTTATGTACTCAATGAATAATTAATTTGCTCTATAACCTTTTTGTGTTATTTTTATATGGCAGGTGCATTGTACAAGTGTGTCAGGAAAACAAGAAAGAAGTTTGCTGTGGGTGCCAAAATAAAGAGCAAAATATAAATTGTTGGAAGACCTAGCTGGAGGTAGACTGAACCAAGGATGGTTTCACGTCAGTCCCTTAACTTTTGATTTATTTCCTTATTCTGTCAATATGACAGATCCTACTTATCCCTGCTTTCTTCTCAGCTCTAACTCCGTTGATTTAGGTTGTTTAGTGGCTAGTCAACAAATGAAATGTCAAAGTCTAGGCGTACAATGTTTGCTCATTTGATGTAAGCAAGAGAGAATTAAATATGAACTTTGGCAAAAGTCTATTAATAATTGACAAATAACAGAATTGTCTGAGCATAGAAAACAGTCCATGAAAAACCTCCAGAATATCTAAGGTTGCTGTACCCTGCTGCAATGTTGCCCCGGCTGGTCTGCATCAGTGATTATGAAGAGCACGCCAGATCAGTGCTTCAAAAGTCAGTATATGATTATTATAAATCTGGGGCAAACGATCAGGAGACCTTGGCTGATAATATTAGAGCATTTTCTAGGTAAGAAACTTGGTTATTTAAAATTGCATTTTAATATTACACAAAGAGATTGCATCAGAATGAGATGTAGTTTTATGTTACAGTGGTGTGAAGTTACCTGCATTTGTAATTAATAAAGAGTAGAATATTTCTGTCATGTGAGAGACATTGACGTTTAAAATGTTGAAGTATTATCAGCCCAGGGATCGATAGCAAAAGTGAGTCCTACCTTTACTTGAACAAGGACAGTAATCAATTTATCTCTGTATACCAATTGTCATAAATGCTGATGACTCCATTTCCTTTTTATCAGAGTGTGACAGGGAATGCTTGTGTGGATGGACTGGGAAGATGGCTTTATGCACAGGATAGCCACCCTAACCAGTTGAACCAGATAATATCACTGCCTCGGATGTCCCCATCCTGCTGGCTTCTCTGTGATCGTCCACTTTGATTATGGCTGTCTACACTCTCGCTTTAGATTCCAGGGTGTATGCATAGCATCCATTGCTCATCTTTGCCGTCCCATGCCTCCTTTAACATGCTTCATCTTTCTCCCCAAATTAATCTGCCCAGGCTTTCATATTTCAGATAAAAGATGGTAGGTGTCATGGCTTATGCTTTCTTTTTTTATTGTAAAGAGAAAGGTTAAGTGGATGTTATTTTTGTTGTTTTGTTTTGCTTTCTCCACTGAGTAGCTGAGGGATTCTTTACCACACCTCACTCTTTCCTAGGCCTTCACCTTCCACTGTAGTCCTTAGTGATGGCAGTAGGTATTAGCGCTCCCCGTTTATGATGACACATTAATTGGGAAGGGACATAAAATATCCAGAGATAGAACATTTGCCTTCTTTCTTATTTCTTCTTTGATCTGGAGTGAAATCATTCCAAATCACCTTCATGTTTTTGAATTATGAGAAATTAAATCCTTTCGATGAAGGTGGTAACTTGATGTCAGCAGCTGCTTTACACACAGGTTGATGATGACAGTGAAGGATGGGACGTCTCTAAAGTCCTTGGTCAAGCTGTCGCTGGAACCTTTTTGAACTATAAACACCAGGGAAGCTATGGCTGGAGAGGTAGTTGACAGTGCAGGAGCTTATAGTTCTGCAGTTTCCCCAATCATTTTTCAGTAGTCAACATTTGCTGCTCTTCTCGAACATTCCTTCTTGGGACTATGCCACTGTATTCTTTGGGTAAATGGCTTGCCTGAGTGTTCCTTAAACAACACTTTAGCCCTACTGGATTTTCATAACCAAAAGACTTTTCAGGCCCTTGGATATACAGGGCTGGTGTCTCAGCATTGCTGCTGGTAATCACCTGGTTCATCTCTAGCAGCCTTCCCTACCCCTTGAGATACCCTATATCATGTGGTCCAACTTATTAACTTACTTATCATCCCACAATATAGCCCTGTGTGATGTCAAACTGGCTATGCACACCCAGCTGGCCTGGGACTTGAAGCCATCCTGCCAGCTCTGCTTCCTGAGTGCTGCAGGAATGTGTCAACATGCAGGGACAATTGATTGACTTACACTGTGAGCTGTTTTTCAGACAAGGCTGTTGCAGAGCTGAGGATATAGCAATGATCTGGATAGAAAGTACCTACCAACAGGACCTTGTATTTAGGTGGCTGCACATGACCTTAGCTTCCATAACCTAGTGGGTGGAAATGATGTAGAGTGACCCCAAACAGCAACCCAAGAGAAGGAGCAAAGGATTACAGCAAGACAGACTACCTTAGCAACCTGAGAAATTCTGGGAACTTTCTGCGGCATAGAGGACGTGGCGACTTCCAAGTTGTAAGCACCCAGAAGAGCCTGCTTTGCTTCTGTGAATTCTATAGCACTCCTATTAGAAATAGCACCCTATGTGTTTACTAATTTATCCCTAGAATACAGAAAATGCAACTGGGTTCACAGTGCCATGTCATTTATGAAGCTTGATAATTCTTTTGTTCTTTAAAAAACATTTAAAAAGGTATTAAGCAAATTTCTTCAGAGGCAGCTCATTCTTTGTGTTTGTACTACAAGAAATATGAGGCATGATCACCAATCTAACATCTCAGTTCCTCCTTTGCTGTGTGACTCCCTGCCTGACTCATAATCCTTTGCTTTATGCCCTTGAGTCGGTGGTCATGTGGGAATAAAAATAGAATTTCTGCTGACTTTGATGACATTGGGTTGGCGGCAGGAAGAGAGTCACCCTGAGGCTTCTCATTCTGTTTCAAATAAAGGCTACAAACAAGCAACCTCAGATAACATTGTGACCTAAGGTCAGGGTGTTTCAAAGGTTTGTGAAATTCAACCCCTTTACCTCAAGCTTGAAGAGGGAGCATCCACCCAAACTCCCCTCTTTCCTCACCGACACTTTCCATCAATGCTCACATCTGACAACCACATTTTGGATTTCTGGAAACTTGGGTTGACTTATGACCAGAAAACAAAACAAAACAAACAAAACAACCCAGTAAAGGATGAATACAAAGAACCACCTAGAAGAATGTAATTTCCTCTTGACCAAGGCAAATGTCAGAATGCCGGCCACTTTATTTTGATTGGCCTGACCCGAGATTGGGGCAAATTTGAAAAAGTATACTATACTATTTCTTTTACACACTGATCTAAAGGAGCTTCCTTGCCCAGTCACAGGCTCTGTGGCTTTTCCTGAAGGTGCTACTGATGGAGACTAACTCCATAGATCCATAGGCAGGATTGTGACATTGGAAGTAGAAGCTGCTTCCTTCCTGCTACATCCTAACTGACCCTGACAAATGGGAGGTCTCACTTCATTGAGAACCAGCACAAACTCACTAGTGGCGTTTTCAGTACTACCTAAGTAGAACTGTCCTAACATCTCTCCGCTGATACAGTATATAAGTGAGGAGGGAGCGTTTTCAGTCATTTGCTTTAAATTTGTAGAAAGCAAAGTTAAGATGAAGAAATTGGAAAGCCACCTCCTGGTATCTTAGAATTCTGGAAAAGTCAATTCCAGGTGCTTAGTTGGTGTGATAACTTGGTGGGAGGTTTCTGAGCTGCACGATTTGTAAATCTTATCAGGGAGCAGTTATTTCCGAGGAAGTGTGAGTATCTCCTGAGGTTTTGATTGATTAGAAGCCTTTGTTTTGTGTGTCGTGTAGGCTAAAGTCCTGTTGCAAATCCTTCGTTCTTTTGAAAGGTTTATTACTCAGTGGTCCATCTGCTCTCCCCATTTTCACATCCTCTTTCTAAAGTGGATGCCATGTGGAAGCAGCATAAGGCTATGGAGACAATTGTTAGAAGTACAGTTGAGGTGTTAGCCATTTAAGTTTGGGGTAGTTTTGGGAGGGGGCTCAAAAATCCACTGAAACTCTCTGGCAAAGTTATTGTTATTTGGAAAATACCAAAGCCTGGAGGAGGCATTAGAAGATGTACACTTTCTTGTTCCTCTGGTTTTATTTAATTTTGCCGAGAAATGTGGGGGTTGAAGCGTCTCTGTAATATCTCGAAACAGAAAATGTATTTATGGAAAGTGGGAGCAAGCTGTTAGTAAGGTGACTGCGCCACCAAGTGGATGTGTGTAAAACTGCCACGTCTGGGTAGAATAAGCTTTGGTTTGTAAATGGGTGACATTAAAAAAAGGACACCTTTCCCGGTAGAACATCCCCATTTTCTCAGTGTGTGGGTGCACCCACCGCGGTCCTGAGTTCCTTGCTGGTGCTCTCTCTCCTTCTGCTCCTGATTTGGACCTTGAGATTTCAGTCCGGTGCTCCAATATGGGTCTCTGTCTCTGTCTCCTTTCATTGCCTGATGAAGGTTAATATTAAGGAGGATGCCTATATGTTTTTCTTTGGGTTCACCTTCTTGTTTAGCTTCTCTAGGATCACCAAGGCCAGCTGGCCTGGGTCTGAAAAAACATGGGATAAAACCAGACTCGCTGAACATAGCGGACAATGAGGACTACTGAGAACTCAAGAACAATGGCAATGGGTTTTTGATCCTACTGCACGTACTGGCTTTGTGAGAGCCTGGGCAGTTTGGATGCTCACCTTAGTAGACCTGGATGGAGGTGGGTGGTCCTTGGACTTCCCACCGGGCAGGGAACCCTGATTGCTCTTTGGGCTGATGAGGGAGGGGGACTTGATGGGGAAATGGGAGGCGGTGGCGGGGAGGAGGCAGAAATCTTTAATAAATAAATAAAAATAAATAAATAAAAATATAAAAAAGGACACCTTTTCCACATGTACGCGCACAGGTGCACACACACAACACACACACACAGAGCCGATGCCCCACAGTTTTCTGTGTATTCATGAGCAAATATTAATATTAATATCAATGCTTTTCACTATTAAAAATCTCTTTCATACTAAAAACACACTTAGACATGATTGGTAATTAAGAACTCTTTCATAATTTCTTCCTCTCCCCCTTCAAAATGGAGATTAAAGCATCATGCTGGAAGTGTCCATGAAGAGAAAAAGATTGCCGGGAACAGGGCTTGTGGTTTGACAGAAAATAGTGACAATTACGTCCAAAGAAACAGCACAGGAACCACACACTAAACTTGCTTTGTTATGCTGTTCATGGATGGTGTGTCTTTAGTTCTGCTGTGTGAGGAAGGTTAGGTTAACGATCTCGAGGAAGTCTTCAAGGCAGAGAACTGCTGCCACTGCCGCCGCTGCTAGAGAAAACCCTCTTCCCCCAATGAAGGGCTTTCCCCTCATTTCTCCTAGATGAAGTCACACCTCACTATGTTTGCAAGAGCAACGTCAATCTCATTACAAGTAGAGTTCAGGCCAGAAAATTAACTGGGACTGTTGGTTAGACCTGTACATGTGTATAAATAAGACATTTGCTATAATCATGATCTGTCTTTGTTTGCCTTGGGAGGAGAATAATCAACACAAACAAGTAGGAGATACACATTCTGCTGATAGGAGAGATAATTGATTCTATGGTAAGATTTATGGATTTTTTTAAAATTGCTGGCTTAATGGTAACTTCTGTTTTAACATAGAGGGATCGAGGGAAAAATAATCCCCCAAATTTAAAAACCTTAGTTTCTATTAACTATTCAAAGGAAAGGACTTAACTAATGAAATAAATCATGAAAAGAGTCAACTCCTATTTTACAATCATTCTTCAGGGAATACAGCATTTAGTTCAAGAACTTTGAAGAAAATAGTCTTAATTTTAAAAGCAGTTGTTTTGAGCTATTCTCTCTTACAGAAGGAACATTCATACCTTCTCAATTCCACTGTAGCCTCTTGGGTATCATCTTCAAAATGGTCTGGGGAAAGTAAAATTAAAATTACACTCACCCAAAAGCCTGTAAGTGGATGTTCATAGTGGCTTTGCTTAGCATCAATACAAAGTGGAAATATTCTAAATGTCCCCTAGGAATGGTACCCTCCATGAGGTGAAATAGGATTCATCTTACCCATGGTACAAACTGGTGACAACACAGGGCAGCACAGACAGATAGTAAACACATCATGTTAGACTCAAAAGCTTGCCTGCTATGTGAATCCGTGCATATGGTCTTCTTTAAAAGCAGAAGGATGAGGATGGAAATACACACCAATGTTGTCAGGGGGCTAAGGTGGGGAGAAAGTTTCACTACAAAAGGAAATAAGGGAATTTGAAGGATGACTGACCGGCCTAGATGTGGCTGTCTTGGCTGTTACATGACAATGTGGTTTTACATTGCTCTTAGAGCTGTGTGCTAAAATACAAGAGTCCTGCTGTGTCAGTCAGACTTTAGTAAAAATGACATGGGAATCCACTGCTATTTTCATTTTTATTGTAAAATTACAGCATTCACACACACATGATAAAACATGCTGCACACATAATGCCTGCACATCCCATGTGATTGTATCTTGTTTGCTTTCTATGATAGCAAACATTAAAACTGTCTATTTTCTTTAGCTTTATAAAAAGGATTTGGCTTAATAAAAATATAATTTTCTTACTTAAACATATGTTAAAGTTTTGGTTACACTTTTGAAAGTCTAGATTATATATATATGTGTGTGTGTGTGTGTGTGTGTGTTAATGTTCATATTATTTAAATTCTAGGTGGAAGCTGTATCCACGGATGCTCCGGAATGTTGCTGATATCGACCTGTCGACTTCTGTTTTAGGACAGAGGGTCAGCATGCCAATATGTGTCGGGGCGACGGCCATGCAGTGCATGGCTCATGTGGATGGGGAGCTGGCCACTGTCAGAGGTAGGAAAAGAGACCTCAGCACACAGACAGAAAGAGACCAGAAGCAGGTCCCTCCTCTGACACCCTTCCGAGGATGCTTTTATAAAATAAAATAAAACAACCAAACAACAACAACAAAAACAAAAACACCCTTGGTTTACCATCAGCTTTCTAGTTTGTGGCTATCTCTATTCTCGTTTTTTTATCAGTGCGAAACAGAGATCAAACTAGTTGTTGTGGCATTGGGTTGCCGTGAGTGTCACAAACATTATACATTTAAATGTCTGACACAGAGTAGTATGCCGCTCTGCACCACTCCCCCGTGTCTGCGCTCTGTGTGCTGGCACCCAGTTACCGAGCTTCGGGCAAGACATAGACATACATAGACACAGACACACACAGACATAGAGACAGCGACACGGGTCATCCTTGAATTCCCCAAGAATGCCCCCTTTATTGTGTTCAGGGGCAGATTATATAGAGATAGCCACGCTCCAGCCAAACCCACCAGAAACCACTCTCCTGCCATCAGGAACTCCTGAAGGTCTCGTGCTCAGAGCAGCTGTAGGCACTCAGATCAGGGAATTACAAGAAATTCAGGATCTTGGGTCTCACTGCTCCCAACAGTAGTACTGAGATAATGATAGTTGTTTTATGAGCAGTAATACCAAGCTCTCCAAAAATGGAGATCTAAGAAGGAGCTTGCCCAAGGTGGGGCTATTCCAAACCGAAAGGATTTGCATAGAACAAATACAGCAAAGTGGTTGGTTCTGTTTTCTTCCATGGTATTGGGACTTGATTTTATTTTATGGGTGGGTTCTATTCCTAGTAGAGCATATCCCACTGCCACGGGAAGGTGCAAACAGGCTGCAAAGTCACCACTGCCAATAGATGAACTCCCTCGTTCCCTAGCAACACTGAACACGTGAAAGGCTGTACATAGAGCTCCTCACATTCTGCTCTGGAAACTCAGAAGCATCGGTGAAGAATCGCTGTTGACATCTCTTGATGCCAAGCAGGGCAAGAGACAAAGGCCAAAAATGTGCGAACCCAAAGCCAGTGTAAAGTTACAATTCTGAGAAGTAAGAATCCTTGGATCTACCTCTTCCTTAAAATGACACCCCCCCCCCCAGAATTCTGCCGAGAACATTAAAATTTTGCTTTGACACAAAAAGATAGTACTAGGGAAGCATAGGCCAGAAGCTGGCAGCATCCTTAAGGCTAGAGCCACAAGCAGATGAGTAGCTTCAGAGTGTTACTAGGAGTTTACCAGAAACACACAGCCCCGGGCATGGGATTGGGTAGGGGAGATGCAGACTGGACCCAAAGACTGTAGTAGTGCAGGTCTATTTAGAGGTGGGATAAGAAGCTTCAAGCAATAGAATTAAAAAAAAAAGTGGAGATGGGCATACTAGATTAAAACTTGAGTGCACCAAAATTTCTATAAATATAAAAAGGAAATATTCTGTGGATCCTGTGAAGATTTTTTGAGGAACTGGAACATAGATGAGAAAGTAAGAAACTGCAAAGGGCTCATGTCCATTTGGTGCAGATTGTCATTGAGGAAGAAAATGATACCAAGGCAAAAGTAAGAAAATAACATGAAGTAAATGGAGACGAAATAGTCGGCGAGTGTAAAGATTCCATTCAGTAACATGCGAAGGAGTGCAAGTCATTAGCCTGTATTTTATTTTCTAGATGTAAGGGTATTATTTTAAGATGTCTACTGGGATCCTGGAGAAATGTGCAGTTTCTAATATGGATGGGAAGCCATGAAACAAAGTGACCTTAAAAATAATCTAGCACTTTGTATCAAATATTTAAGATGTGAAGTCCATAGGATGCTGCAATTTTTTTTTTTGAGACAAAAGACTTGTATGAGGATTTTCCTGATTTCAGTTTTGATTTGGCAGGGTGTTGGAGAAAACCCTGCATGACAAAACAAAAAAACAAAACAAACCCCTAAACTTTGAAAATGATACAGTCTTCTTTTCTTTCTTTTTTCTTTTTCTCCCCCTCCTCTTCCTTCTTCTCCTTCTTTCTTCTTCTTTATTGATAAGAATTCATTGTGAAACTTGACCTGATCCTACTGCCTCAGCCTCCTGAGCGCAGGGATTATAGACATGCTAGTTGCTACGCTTTAACAACTTTAAGAAGCCATTACAGATGATAATAAGGCATGCATTTCATGCTTTTGTTAGTAGCCAGAACTAATGTTAAATAGACTGTGTTTGAAATGACTATGCCTGTTATAACTTACTATTGCTGTTTAAAGTGGCTGAGTGGGGGTTTACTTTATATTCTATGACTTTTGGTCCGTCCTTATAAACTATTCTTTGGATTATTATTTAAGAAGGAAACAATAAAAATAGATTTAAAAGAGGAGATAAAACCAGAAAATGACTGAGAGGACAGAGACAGAGGGAAGTAAACAGACAAGTGGGCAGAGCTCTCCTGGTGAGTCACTGTGGGGCCAGGCAACTGCTGCACATATGTCCCTTTATTGGTATTACTGTTGCATTTGGTGGACAACTAGCTAGAGTTTAATAGAACTGCTTCCATAGCTTGTAATGACAGGCTGGTCCTCTTCACTTGCTCCCTGGGGTTCTGAAACCCATCATTCTGGTAAGGAAGGGCTGGAATAAATTGAAAATGCTTCTTTAGAAACTGCAAGGTTATAGCCCAGGTAGGACTAGTTGTTGGACTGTTATGTCCCCTGACACTCACCATGAACTGATATTAAGTGCCCATTAGACTCTTGCCCTTTTAGAAATATTTAACAAGGAATTACTACCTTTCAGGCACTTGTCTGAGTATACCACAGCTGTCAAATTACTGTCTCCTCAAAAAGCCCAGGGAAACAGTTCTATTATTAAGCCTATTGTACATATGAGAAACTGAGGCACATAGAAAATGAGTCACTTGCCCACGGCCACATTATTCATCAGTGGCAGGAACTGTCCAGATCCCAGCAGGTTGTCTCTTGAACAGTGACTCCTCACTACCCTGTGCTTCTTTGAAGATGTTCTAAAGGACTTAGAGCATCAGAAACCTTTGATTGACAGCTCCAGGCATGTGCAAAGCAGGGCTCTGGGACAGGGAATCACACAATACACAATGAAGTGGAAAAGACAGGAGAAAAAGATTAACACACTCTCTTGAGGAATCCAAGATCTTCGATGAAGGTCCCATCAGGTTATAAGGCAGCTGCATGCCTGGGAGCTCCTACAAGGACTTCTGTATTCTTCAGGCTTCCATCTGTGTTCTCATGGGCATCTATGACGCTCTGTTCTAGGTAATATTAGAAGTAATCCTGTAAGTCAATGGTCATCAACTCAGAGCAAAGGCTGTTGCTTGGTTTGTGCGTGTGGGCATGGCCTGTGAATTGGGCCGTGGTTTGTGCATGTGGCTATGGGATAATGAGTTTCTTTGGCAGGAGAAGGAGAGGCCCTCGAGCTGATGCTGTAGGTGACTCAGTTATCTGGATTCCTTATTTCTTTCTTTCATAACCTTAAGCTTGGTATTTTGTGTTTGCGTACAGAAGTCCACTGTGGGGGTGGGTTGGCTCCCTCAGCCTATGAGCACGGCCACTGATGAACAGAAACTGGCTCTCAGTGATCCAGAACTCAGCATTTTCTCCTACTGTCATTCACTGAGACTGAGTCACAGGAATCCGTAGAAGTTGCTGCTCATTAACACGCTCTTCTTTATCTATCTTCCCCAGTCTCTCATTCCCTCCTTCCATGAACTCATTTCGGGACTTATCTCAGCTGCTTCTGGAGGAATGTAAACCAAGAGCCACGGGAAAGTTTAAGTAAGAATGGAGCAATATTCATGTTTAGTAGATTATTGTCTGAAATCTAGGGAATCACAATATCAACCTTGAGAAATTTGTGAAATCTTTTTAAGTTATGGAAGATTTTTGTCACCTTCCTAATTATCTGGCCCTTAAATTTTATATTTCCAAGGTTATCGCCTATTTGCAAAGAAAGGAAGTTGGGGCCAAGTTCAAAGGACAGTGGTTAATTTGTAATCTGAGGACAAAGTGTCCCCATCAGTCTGGCTAATGACAATAAAAAAGGGTTATCCATGTCTGTAGAAAATGGTCTGACCTCTGAAATGAGGACATCCTCTCGACAGTTCTGGATACTGCCATGGCACTATAGCATCGCTTTCCCTGTGTATTTCCAGATTTCTTCACAGAATCTGACTCAAAGGCCTTTTTTGCCTTGTCCTGTCATTTCTGTGGGCACAAGCTGACATGAGCTAGACGCATGGATAAGATCCCGTGTCTTCCCACTGCTCGATGGCTGTAGAATGAGCTGTACATTTTATTTTTAACTTTGAAACACAATGACAATGCGTACAGGGTTTCCCTTTCCGTGTTAGTGAACAGCCAGGTGATTGATATAAGTGAGAGCTTTTCCAAGGGTTGTAGTGTGGCGTCAAGAACTAAAAGCTGGAAAAATTTACAGTGCTGGCCAGTGCCACTCAGTTCACTGTCTCATCAGGGCCCCAGAGTCCCCAAATTTTCCTCTTGCACACTTGCTCTGCCTTTTCAGGAAGGCACACTCTAGTTTTATCATAATGAAAACTACCTTTTTTTTTTTTGCACTAAATACCTTTGTCTTACACTTTATGAAGGGACCTCGAAAATTACCTTTAATGCTTAATCTCCAAACTAACTAAACCACAGTCTGTGCTCAATGGTGAGGGCAGTGTGATTGCCTGTTGTATCCCAAAGGGGGCAGCCACGTCCTTGCTTTAGCAGACTGTTCCTCAGGGAGCCAGGAGAGAGGGCCAGATCTTCAAATATCTTAAAAGAAGCAAGAAATCTCATCTTAAAAAAAATGTACAATTCCTTGTTTTTATACGTTGGCAAATAAATCAAAACTTTCTAAAACACTATTTAGTGCAACAGCGCAGTGGGCCAAAGCAAATACTTTTGTGGGTTACAACTGTCCCTGGGTTGTTCAGCAGCGACATCTGATTTATGTGGAAATTCACCACTAACTGGTTTT